AGAGATCGGTCCATGCTTTTGTGTTATCCTCACTCAACTATTGCAACGCCTTCCTGGTTGGGATACCGAGCACAGTACTGGGCGAACTCCAGCTTGTTCAGAATGCAACTTCTAGAGCGCTCACACGTACACTTTTCCGTAAGCACATTAAACAAGTCCTCATCTCTTCATTGTCAACGGGCCAAATTCCGAGCGGGTTTTAAGATACTACTATTAACCTAGAAACTTTAAAAAAGGCTCACCCCACAATACTTGCAGGAACTAATGCATTTATATTCCATCAAGGTCCTTAATAGCTTCTGATCTCCAACTACTCAGTACTCCGATGTCTGTGTTGCGCTGTTTTGGTGATCGGGAACGAACGTCTTGCCACTTGAAATCAGGAAATCAGAGTCGGTAGATATATTTAAGTCTGCTTTGAAAACCCATCTTTTTAAAGTGGCCTTCCCTCTTTAGTATGGTCGGTTGCTCTGGTTCTATTTTTGTTTCCTGCTTTCCATGCATTGCGCATTGGGATCCTAGGATGGAATGCGCATTATACATTTTAATTATTTATTACTTCCAAAAATGTTAAGTATTTAAAGATGAAATAGGGGTCACAAGACATCTGGACCCACCTATCGTATCAGATGGAGGTCTCCCTATGTTTTTTCCTAATGGGGGTTTTTGACCATAATTGTCTCGGGTTTGGTTGGTGAAAAGAAGACAGAGCCAGTTCTGGTATTACTTGCCACTGATGTTAACCGTGATTGGGAATTAAACTCAGTTCGCTAACCACTCTGCCACAGCCCCACCTAGTGTTTAAGTGATACCAAATATTTTACCGTCAAGTGCATACTAGATTGTTTAAGGTATTGTGCAGTGTACTGTAATACCAAGTACTGTGCAGTGTACTGTAATACCATGCAAAAACAGAATTTATACATTTAAAAAAGTGACAATCGTAATGTTACTGACATTATACTCAGTGGTGGCTCAATGGCTCCAGTTTGCAGAGGTAACAAAATAATTCTCAGCTCTTCAAGGTTACGTTAATACCCCCATTTCAAACCTTTAAAACAGTCTGCATCAGCAGCAGGGCATGCTTGCAATGCTCTCCCACCTGATCACGGACGCTTGTGTTGCGCCCGAAACGTCGTGATTTTTTATTTTATTGTTTATACCTACGTGACTTTACCGAAAGAACCAAAGAGTACGATACTACAGTTTTGTCAGGGCTGCTACTTAATCGGGTTCTCATCTCAAACTGCTTGGTGGGGCGACGCCCCAACGCCCCTAGGGGACGAACCGCGCCAGCTCTTAACCACAAATGATCTCCTCTGCTGCAGTAAAACTTTTCACAACGCAAACTTTTCACAACGTGCACGGAGATCGTCGAGTGACTGCACACTGAGCGACGAACTCAAATGGTGTATGCGACGTGCGTGGCTGACGAGCACATTAACTTGCGTCTTGTAAAGGATGATGTGATTTAGGAAAAGTGCATATATATATATATCCCGTGCCTCCTGTTCTCCCGGTTGACACATTCAATTCAATTATTAGTAGATTTAGTATTTCGTCACGAAGATGCTATATTTTAGTGATGTTTTTTTCTGCAGTAGTTTCAGCAAATTTTCCAATTTACAGGTAATTTTCCACCTGCCTTGCTCTTTTTTTGTTGAACTTTGATAGGATTGTTAGCATCTACTGTGAAGCAAAAGGTATTTGGTTAATACATCTGCAGTATTAATTAGATTAGCATCTGAGCTTGAAGCCTTGTATATAATTGTCAGACAACACAATCACACTCTATAAAAAAATAAAGTAAATATTGTGAATATGCATCCAAATATTTTCGGAGTTTGAGTGACATGGCTTCATATGCAATGGCTTTATTTTAGATATTTCAGTTTTCCCCTGCAAGTATTAATATTTAAAAAAACGGAAACCTAATCGAGGCCTTCCTGGATAAATAAGTGACATTGTTCATTTTATTTACACATGTATTGATATTTTAACATTGGGTCGTTAGAACCAACAAATACGCATTGTGGTTAATTTGAGTGTATGGAACTCTGTTAAAGTCAAACTAATTTCACATTTAAACAGTAATTGTATGGGAGCAGCCTGAACAGTGAACATATTTAACATTTTTATATAACGTTTTTAATGTGTTTAAACGTTAAGGGTAATTGCAGCCACATCAACGAGATATGACCACGTTGTTGTTTATTACGCGATGCACATGCCCAACCACGACTTGAGAAATTATGGCACGTAAAAAAATGGGAACTATGTTACGGAGCTAATAACAGTGAAGCTATCAATCAATTTGCAATATACTGTGGTTACGAATCGCAAGTCATTGTATGCAACATAATGATATGATGCGAGAATAAAAATGTGTAATGTGCAAGTATTACACACAAGCTAAATAATGTTTGACAAATGGTCAGTCGCATGGCACTGGATTTCTATGACATACAATTTATATAAATGTAGATAACTTATATTGTTTAACCAGTTTCAAGACTTTTTCAGTTATTTTCGTCACGGGAGGATTGAGCCCATTCCTATTTTCAGGAGCGTTTTGGACATGGGTGGAACTTGAGTAAGAGGAGAAAACCTGTGAATATGATGGGTTAACACTTAAAGGTGCACTGCTGGGTTCAAATATAGGTAGTTGCCCTTGATGAAAACTGAACAATTATGTTAAGCGAGTTGATGGTTCCAGCACGGTCACCGATGTCTTCGTAAAAAAAATACGTAAAAAAACGTGCACTTGAACTTAATTATGTATATTTCAACAATTGAAGACTAAATTAATTTCTTCTTTATTTTGCCATGCAATGGATTTCTCTATTGCAGGAAGTGTCCGAAGTATAAGCGTATTACTTAGTGGGGATAGAAGGAAATAGAATGGGCCTCAAGGTGTAGTTCTGTGGTGTATTTCATAGGTTGTTCCATAACATGGGGTGATGCTGCATTGCTGTGAGAGCTCTGAATGGAAAGTCATCCATCTCATGACCTGATATCAGTAGCACAACTACATTTATTTGTGGAAATATATTTGGCAATGACGAACAAAAACGAAGGGTACACTATCAGCCTGAACAGGGATCACGTTTTTAATTGTGGAGTAGTTTTTGGTAATGTTTTTTTTGTCTGTTAAGAGTTCTTTACAGCTGCATCAATAATGTGGTCATCCTGTGACTTATTATGCACATACCCAACCACAGTTTGGCAGAATAATGCCTTGTTCGTAATCCAACTGCAAACAGTTAGAATAAACAAATGTAACAACGCTGAAGACAAACTGACATTGCTTAACGTATATAACGAAACACACATTCGTAAATACGTTACAATGTGTGCTTATGCGGCACTGCCAACACTTATGGTCACAAACAATATATTGAGGAGCTTTTCTCTTGAATACAATGGTGCCGCCATGGTATAAAGTTAGCACACCGGACTTGCTATCCAGGTTGCTGGGTCAATTCGGACTCCTGGAGCATGAATATTTTTTTCTTTAACGAGAACTACCTGTACTCTTTGGTTCTTTCGGTAAAGTCACGTAGGTATAAAATAATTATTTCATTAGTGATTGAATTTATTTTCTACCTACGTGACTTTACCGAAAGAACCGAAGAGTATGGATCCCTGCAGTCACGAAAACTTCAAATCTAGAGAGCACATCCCTGCGGATGGAGCTGGTAGGAACGTTGGGTTGCTCGGTGAATGGCCAGGGTCAACGGCGGCGTGGTGTATTCCGCAAATATGCCCGACTGTGAGGGCGGGCACAAGCCGGCGTGAGTAGGTTAAACGTTGAGTTTTATAAGGGCATCATGGGGTGACCAGCCCCTCCCCACCCAGCCCACCCCTCCCACCCCCCACCCAGCCCCACCCTCCCCACCCAGCCCCTCCCTACCCTCCCCACCCAGCCCCTCCCCACCCTCCCCTCTCCACCCAGCCCCACCCCTCCCATTTTTGGATGCACGACGGACGGACGGACACAATAATCCGCTGTGGGCTGGTGTAACTAGAAGGTTCCTACCAGTATAACTACTGTGCGTATGCGCTGGTGAGTAAGGCTGCTAATTAAACACAAACCAGTTTTCAATGTGCAGCAACAAACAACAGAAAGTTGCGGTATAGGAAAATAATTGGACCACCGCATATAAACATACCGTCCTAGGTTTTAATAGAGGTTAGTCATTTTATTTTATTTTAATTGCTTTCAACATTTTTCACTGCGATGATGTTCTGCTTTAAAAATGGCGTGAGGACACCTTGTGGGTTGCGGTGGCTGATGCTTGAGCTTCCTCATATAATATCGCTGTTCCGCCGTCTTCGTAATTACCCAACATATTGCTGCCTTGCACAAGCCACGGTTGTTTTAATGACTTGCAATAAACTGCAATCAGTCTGCAGAATTATAAATGTATGTAATTTTACGATGGTTGCCATAATATGGTTAAACGATGATATTTCGTTTGATATACTAAGATAATTATGTTGTCCATTTTGAAAAAACATTGAAAGGCCATAAAGAAGGCTGTCTCTGGTGTAGGCCAATCAGTTTCAAAGACAATGTATATTATTAGAGCATGTTTGTTTGCCTTTTTTGCCACAAACATGTGTGGTTAATGCAGACTTGATTCCTTGCAACAGGTATCTATTTGGTGGTCGAACATCATAACAACTGTTTTATTTTTATTTAAAGCTTTCGTGACTGCAGGGATTCATATTTTTGGTTCTGTCGGTAAAGTCACGTAGAAGGGAAACAATAAAATAATAAAAATATCAATCAATAATATTATCACGTGTCGACTGCAACACAAGCAATCATCATCAGGTGTTAAAGGGCCATGTCATCCCAAAGTCAAAAGTGCCTCCCTGAAGATAAAAAAACCCCAATCCTTTTCAGGATGTACACACTATGTGGTGCTCATCATCGATAAGCTGGTGGCTCATGCCAACGTGCGCTTTATAAGAACAGCAGCCTGTGGGTGGATCATCGCTGTGTTCTCTCTTGGGCTCAGCAAGGAGGCGATCGCGATGGCTCTTCTACGTCCGCTGATGTTCGTGCTGGTGGCGGCCGGGCTCTGTGCCCTCGTGTCTGCCGACCGTTGCCCCGATGGTCAATACTGCGCATCGCGTTGCTGCTGGAGATTTTCCCGATACACTTGCTGCTGGGCAGGAGAGGCAAGCAAATTTTTAAATTGTAACAATACAACTTCTGTGTGCTCAAGTCAACGTATTTCCTTATATCAGCGTCGGTGGTTTGTTTGAGCTCATTTGCAAACGGGATCCTAACTGCAGCAATGATTATGCAATGTCGCAATTTGCAGAATGAAGCAAAAGGACAAACATAACGGCAACGAATGAGTATTACGATACACTTACCTTGGGATTTGTTTCACGAATATAGCTGCACGACGTTATCCGTGGTACTGGAGTTGCATGTTACGAGCAAATGCACAAATACATCATCCGCCTGTGTTTTCTGCGTGTGATTTCTGTCGACTGAGCAGGGTGAAGGCCAGAGGGAGACACAGGGGGTATTGGCCACAGTTCCTGCTCAGGCCATCTCTGTCGTAGCCTTCAAGGTCAGCTCCTGCGCAGGCTCCATCTGCTCGGCCAATGGAGAATCTCGCTGCTGCCCCTTGTCTGAGGTGCGTGGAACAGCTTGGGAGAGAGCTGTGAGCCCTCCGGCCAGCCACTGGTCTCAACAATTGTGTCTGGAGGTTACAAACTGTGAATGGACGAAACAAAATGTTGTGTTTTACAGCATGCTCAGTTGATGAAATGTATTGTGTTCTTTTACCAGAAGCTGAAATTAAATACTTGAGATCACAAAGTACAATGTATGATAAAAAAAATTAATAGACAACAATTTTTTATTCAGTACTGTTTATGCATGTTCGTCGTGTGGCTTGTCCACATTTTTCTGAATTAATAACCTTTGTCGAGGCGTTGCCAGTTTGTCAGTGCTATTAATAATCTCGACGGGGTAATTTACATTTAATTTTCAAATTTCGAAAATTCAAACCATGATGCCGGCACAACAATGACATCACGGGATATTTAACGTCCACTGCGAAGCGGACGGCGTGTACTTTGATGGTCAATAGGGCAGCCGTGGGTTTCGAACCTTGCACCTCAGAATCGAGCGGCAAACACACAACTGCGAGATCATGTAAGCGCGTCCACTGCTACCACTTAGGCCATGTGTCGAGGTGCTGTGATGTTTGCTCAGGGCTCGTGCTGCGGTGACGGCCTGTCCTGCTGTGGAAAAGGATCCACCTGCACCACTTTCCAGGGGCTCAACCTCTGCCTGCCCAATGCAAAATTCCAGGACCCTGGTAATTGCATCAGAACTGTTTCACATCCCGTATCACTCTCTCACTCTACACTCACCATTTATGTCAGTGAAATTATATATATATATTATATATATACAGTAATGTGTTGTTGTGAACATATCAATTAATCCTTTGGCATGTATTGCTCTTACATTGATCCTAAATCCTAATCAGTATAAATACATAAATGCCGAATAGATGCGTTCATTCACATCCTCTGCACACCATTGGATTACCTAACCATACTGTCATATAACTTTGATTGAGACACACTCAATCAATTGTAGTACAGTACTAAATCATTTTTATTTTACCAACGTACTCCACCAAAGTTGAAAACAAGGTTAAAATGGCACGATAAGGAATGCTATTCATGCCGAGTGCAGAATGTCGAGTAATGTGTAAGCGCACCTCTCTGTGCATGACGATAGTGCAGTTAACACTCCGCACTACAATCCCTGAAACAATGTATTTGATCTCCTAGCCATGCACATCAAAGGCAAATAGTGATTGAACCGAGCCCTGGTGGACTCAGCCTAAAATAGATGACCCACTGAATCGCGTGAACATCAGCGCTGGGTGGATCAAGGCATCTGCGGGGCATTGTGCTCGACAAACCACTCCCTTGCGTGCATCGATAGGCACGCACGAAGGGACATTCTCCCACGTGAGTTAAATGCGATTAACGATATTTGTCGTTGAACGCGTGTTCGCTATAATGACACCTACTATCCTGTGTGCCTGCAGGCGATATGCTTCTCTGACGGGATCAACTGCTGTCCTGCTGGGCACTTCTGCATTGGATCTGTGCGCTTGGTCCACCCTGGCACTGCCTGCTGTGGAGGGTGTCTGAGATGTGTGCCCAGTGGGCATTACAGTGCTCAGTGCACGAAGCACTGTGCATTGCACCCTTCGACTGCTCTTTGCGTGCTTTGTTATTTTCAGCAATTTACATTAAAAAAAACGAATAACACCTTGCTCTTTGCAAAGACTAAATGGGATAATGTTGAGGCAATTAACTAATGTACTTTTGTTTACCAAAAATAAAGATTGTACCAACAAACGCTTAATAAATATGGTGTCTGAGTCATTCTGGTGGGAGGCCACAGGGTGAAACAAGGGGGTTGATGGGTTATGGAAACGGAAGAAATAAACAGAAGATAACTGCCACGGGTGTAAGAGGTAAAAAACAATGCAACGTATTGGAACCTACTGAATGTAGCTGTGCGTGAATATTATTCCACAACATGGGGCTATAAATGATGTGCTTCCATTGGTAGAGATTCAAGGGGCAACTGTTGGAAAGGTGCCCTAGATTTAAGCCAAACCTATGTCCTCCCGCACAGAAAAGTGTCCTCCCCCATAGCCTCTATACGTACCCAATTCCCTCTATACAGTACTTGCTCAATTCAATAAAGAGTGCTGTTTGTCACTGGCCACTTTTTGTTTTGAGTCTAAATGGGGTTTGGCCAGGAGACATCATGGGTGACTAATCCCCCCCTCCCCCGCGGGGCATCCGGCACAAGCTTATTTTATTGTCATCGCACCCATCTCAAACTCTGCCAAGAACATCCCCATCCATCAACCTGGAGAAGACAGTATATAAATGAACATATAATCATGCAAACCAACAATTAATTGTCTTGTTTGGGCAAGCAAAGAGACCTGATGATGTCAGGATTCTGTTTTGTCTGGGGCAGGAGTGTAAATCACCGACATCAATGCCCATCACCTACTCGGACAAAGATCCTCCATAAACACGCATACCGTGATATAATGGAGCACATATTTACATTGGTTGAGCCATTTGTATATTGAATGTCTCAATGGCGATGCGTTGTGTTTAAAATAAAATTGATGTAATACAATGTCAAATTATGTCAGAATCATATCATATTTCCTTTGCTTCATTAAGCAATTTAAATGCTGCCGAGCTCTGTTGCAGACCCACGTAAACATTTGTGGAAACATTTATTGCGGTCTTTCAAAGCCTACCGTGCGGCATCTATGTTTGCGACGGGGAAAATGTTGTTCGGCACGAACAGTCGCACAAGGAAGAGACGCATGGCGATTGCCTCTTCACTGAGCCCAGGCGAGGGCGTGGGCCACCTGGACACACAGATTCCCTCCTGAGAAAGCCCACACAGCACGAGCCGGCAGTTTAGCCACACCCTTAATCAAATAATGCATCCATCATTAGGTTATGCAAAATAATAATAATAATAATGATATTTTGGGATGGCTGTACAAGCAAAATTGCACGCAGAAAGTTAAAGTGCATAAACGTGTGCGTTTGTCTATATTGGTGATTGCACGACCCAAATTTTGTCAGGCTGGTTACGTATTTGATTAATTTTACAAATGTAGACAAATGTGGACTGTCTGTGAAGTGGCATTTGCAGGTGTGTTTGTGTATGAGCGTCTTACGTAGCTCGTGGGGAGCGGTGGTTTAGCGGTTAGCGCACTTCGCTATGAACCCGGTGACCCAAGTACGATTCCCGCTCACGGCCAACACCGGTGACGATTATCTGAACCGGTTCTGGGCCTCCCCTAGGTCGACTCAGCCTCAAACGAGTACCTGGTGTGGTGTATAAACATCGCCACCGGGGAGACAAAGGCGGCCGGGCGTGGTGCTGGCCACACACCCCCTCGTGTGCCGTGTCGGCCTTCATAGGTGCTCGCTAACAACACTTGCACCAAACAGTCTGTTAAGGCTACACGGGGAGAGTGGTGCAGCAAAGAGTAGCAATGGGTAGCAATAGCACAATTCAATGATCTCAGCTAACCGAATTCGATTCCCAGCACCAGCTAACGTCGTGGCCGAGTGACGGTGGGGAAATATATGCACCCAGCACAGTGCAATAACAACGGACTGTACCTGTAGGTTATTGTTATTTAAAATGTTGAACATGACCTCAATTCGATTCAATCCCATTATAGTATTCAATTACTCTACCGTCCTTAAATTATCTGCCCAAGTGCAGGTGCATCCATCGCTCCCATGCAATCCGACTCCCCCCTTTCTGCCTTCAATCGCCACACTCTGTGTGCTGGGATTCTTGAGGTTTAAATAGGGGAGGGTAGTTCAGGTGGGTTTTCACCTTGCATTCAACAAGTTTTCTTTTGGTGACACGTTCATAATCTCTCCCGTACTACTGTGCTACCATTGGCAGTGGAGAAGATGCATAAGTCAAGGAAACCCACCGCAATGATCATGAATGCTCCGTAGTGTTTGTCCTGTCGAGAATGCATTTACAGAAACTGAATAGTGTTGTTACTCATTGGTGGTTCCAGTTTGTGGAGGCCGTAGAGTCGGCCGTGGATTCTTGAGTGTTGCGCTGGTGATTGAATTGAATACTATAATTGTAATGCGATGGCGTTGACGTCATCGGCACATTCCCCCCAGAGCATTGTTAGACATTATCACGCGTTCGTTGTCTTCGCATTGCCAGTTTAGGTCACCTGCACGTGTTGATACCTCAAAACTTAAGACACAAGCCACCGCTGCTGTTACTTTAAGTTGCAAAAATCTGAAGCAGACCTCGCTCTTAAAAAAGATTATCCAGATGTCCAGTGAGGCTTTCCTCGATAAATAAGGGACATTTAGAACAAAAATAAAGTAACATTTGCCAAATATGCTGCAATTTAACATCTATTAATTGAAATGTATGTTATATTTGAAACAACAGCCAAAATATTGAAATAATTTTCATAAACAAATGGTACACGGACATCCTACACAGGGATCAGATTTTATATTTTTACGTTCGTTTTTCTTGTAATATTTTTCAAATGTTAGGAGTATTTACAGCTCCATCAATGACATGGCCAACCTTTGGTTTATTACACTATGCCCATACCTAACCACAGCTTAAGTAATTCTGCCACCGTTGATGCAAAAATCAAAAAATGAGAACTATGTGGTTGTGTAGCTGATAATGACCAATATCGGTAATTCGAAACAAAACCGCTTTAAAAGCGTTGAAATACAAACCATAAAGTTGCTAAATAGTAAAATTAGTTAGACCATCAAGTATAAAGTGTATTTTATATAGATGATTGTAGCCGTTTTAAGGGTTAATTTGCTTTCAAATATTGTCATTAAAGGCAGTTTTGGTGCCCTCGTCTCAAAATGTCGTGACTCCATCTTGTGAGTTGCAGTACTTGTCTGCTTCCTCAATTAAAATCACTGTTCCGCAATTATTATCACAATTACACAACATAGTGTTGCCTGAAGGAAGCTGTGGTTAGATGAACAATTTCCATAAAAAACAAGTGGCTGCAGCATGATAAATATTTAATGTGACTCAAAAAGCAACTTTTAGTGTACAATTCGTTAAACAAACAGCATTTGAGGATGTTCACATGACCTGGTGAAGGTCGCCGATAAGCTTGTGGCTCATGCCAGCGTGCGCTTTATAAGGACCCAGCCTGTCGGTGGATCAGCGCTGTGTTCTCACTTGGGCTCAGCAAGGAGGCGATCGCGATGGCTCTTCCACATCCGCTGATGTTCGTGCTGGTGGCGGCCGGGCTCTGTGCCCTCGTGTCTGCCGACCGTTGCCCCGATGGTCGATTCTGCGTATCGCGTTGCTGCTGGAAATTTACCCAATACACTTGCTGCTGGGCAGGAGAGGCAAGCTGGTTTAAAATTAGGTCACAATATAGTGCGCTACAATTTTTTTATGGAATGCACTAATTTGTTATCGTTAATGCTGTAATTCAATGGATGTCTTTCATTTATACTATTTAATCTGTTTGTTTGAGTTCATTGGCTTCTTTGCGAGAGAGACATGACAGGATATAAGTTTTGTAAATATGTAAATATATATGCGTATTATTAACTATTGCTGAAAGATGTGATCTGTAGTAGTTCCCTGTTCGTAGCGAATTAATAAATGTATCATCTGCCTGGCTTGCTGCGTGCGGTTTCCATCGGCTGAGAAGGGTGAAGGCCAGGGCGAGACACAGGGGGAATTGGCCACAGTTCCAGCTCAGGCCATCTCTGCCACAGTCTCCAAGGTCAGCTCCTGCGCAGGCTCCGTCTGCTCGGCCAACGGAGAATCTCGCTGCTGCCCCTTGTCTGAGGTGCGTTGCCCAGCTTGGGAGGGAGCTGCAAGCCCTCCCGCCAGCCACAGGTCTGAACAATTGTGTCTGGAGGTCAACGGGTCGTTAATGAACGCAACGAAATGTGTTTTACAGCATGCTAGTTGAGAATCTTCTTGTGTTCCTTCACCAGCAGCTGCAATGCAATAAAAAGTGAAATATATTTATCAGTGGTAAACCATGTGATGGTAAACCAAATTAAACTAATCAGAGGGATAAAGTTTGTTTTCATCTACCAAAAATACTAACTCAGAAATAACATTTCCTAACCTATTGAATGTATCTAAATTGAACATACGTCGATAACTACGAATGATCTATTTACAATATGAAATTCATGAACAATCTCAAAAATTCCCGGTTATATAGAATGGGTGTCCAAAAGTTTTGGATTCTAAAAACAACTACTGTTAAACACTGTTCTCTTCATTCATGTTCGTTACGTGATATGTCCGCACCGTTCATATGAATGAACTTTTACGACGCCTTATCGGCTGTCAGTGTCTTTTTTTATCATTATATTTATTTACCCAGGAAAACCTCATTGGGTCTCGTAGATCAATGTCACGAAGGACCTGCCAGGATTTTGCACAGTAGCGGGTGATGATTGTTGCGGGTAACGTTTCAAATTTGGATCACGTGAACGACATCACAGGATCTTTAAGGTTCACTGTTAAAGCAGACGGCACATTTTTAAAAATCTCAATACACCTGGCAGTATTAATGAGGGCGGCCGCTTGCATTTGAACCGTGAACATCTGCAACAAGCAGCGTCTTTGTGTTGACATGTGCTATGATATTTGCTCAGGGCTCGTGTTGTGGTGACGGCCTGTCGTGTTGTGGAAAAGGATCCACCTGCACCACATTCCGAGGACTCAACCTTTGCCTCCCCGATGCGGAATTTCAGGACCCTGGTAATTTGCTCATGAACTTGGCCTGCAATGCATACCCATTCCTGCACACATATCCAGCACATTGTTTCACATCTCTATCACTCGTTCATTTGTTTACGCTCGTCATTGCTGTTAAATATTCATGGAACTTCTGAGAAACGTTTCTGATATTTCGTGTATACCGTAAAGTACTGGTAGGAATATATTAATGTATGAAATGGGAGACTGGTGGCGCAGTGGTTGTCGCAATGTGTCCATGAATCTTGGAACCTGAGTTTGATTCTCAGCCATGGCTAACACCAGTGAAAAATTGCTATCTAAACTGGTCCTGGCAAATCCACCCTTTACGAATCCGCACTTCGTAGTGCGGTGAAGTGTGGTAAAGCAACTCCCGTGATTGAAACGGTGGCGGGTGATCGATCATCATTCACCAGTTGTATCACCATCATTCAGCAGTTGTTTCTTGCTGTAGTTGTCCCACCTGATGACGGTTGCTTGTGTTGCGATCGAAACGTCGTGATTTGTTTTATTTTATTTCTAACTACGTGACCTTACCGAAAGAACCAAAGAGTATGAAATGACAAAGGTCTGAAAGGGAAATTATGACAGTCCAGTAAATAATGCATTCCCCACCACCAACCACCACCACCAAATACAACATTCACATTTCTGCTGGTCCCTCCCCCCCAAGTGGCCACCTTCCTGAGCCGTGAGCAGCAGCAGCATCAGCAGGGCGGCTGCGTGGACGACAGCGGCTGCCCCGCGGGGAGCGAGTGCCACGTGGCGAGCGGTGACCACAGGGGGCAGTGCGTGAGTTCAGACGCGCTCATCCCCTGGGTGGAGAAGGAGGCTGCGCTTTCGGGCGCTGTGGGAGCTCACGTGGTGTACTGCGGGAGCGGGCAGTACTGCAGAGACGGCCAGACCTGCTGTCGCCTCGCCACCGGCAGCTGGGGCTGCTGCAACATCCCTCATGTGAGAGCCTCCCACTGCAGCAGCAGCAACCTCGGCCAGCGCTCGGTCCACAGACCCATTTCCATAGATTTGAAGATGAATTTTAAAGTGGCACCAAGGTCGGAATGGTCGTACCCACGCTCATTTACGTTGGGTGTGGGGTGGGGTGGAGGGGAGTAGAATGCAAATGTAAACGCGCACATCCCTGTGCATTGCGATGGTGCAGTTCACAACGTCGGCAATGCAGTCCCAGGAACCTGGGTTTGACTCCTAGCATGGGCAGAGTTTGCGGGAATGGGGGTCACGGGGGGAAACGCCCCCCCTCCCCAAATTGGACACATTCATGATTTTTTTCAGTAGTTTACAATTGAGATTATACATAAATGAATTACTCATATGTACTCACGATTCCTCATGTGGGGGACTAAGCAGACCCCTGCCCCCCCCCCCACACCAAATATACAAGTGAAACTCCGCCTATGATTTCCGAGCCACGCAACATCGCTGTCAATGTATGGCTAAACCTTGACCTGTGCTGCCAGCGAGACGAGTTAAAACTCGCCTAAAATATATGAATCGCGTGAACATCAGCGCTGGGTGGATCAAGGCATCTGCTGGGCATTGTGCTAGACATCACCACTCATCACCACTCGCCCCCATGCACGAAGGGCATTCCCCCACGTGAGCTGAATGCCATTCAAGGGATATTCGTCGTAGAACCGCGTGTTCGCTATAACGAGCCTTGCTATGCTGTGTGCCTGCAGGCGATATGCTGCTCTGACGGGATCCACTGCTGTCCCACTGGGCACTTCTGTCTCACGGCGTCGGGTCTGTGTGCTCGGTCCACGCTGTCGCTGCCCGCTGTGGAGGGTGTCTGAGATGCGTGCCCCAGTGGACCTTTGAGTGCTCGGTGCACGAAGCAAAGACACGCCGTGCATTGCACCCTTCGATATGCTTGACTTAGATGTTAGGCATTCGGTATGCTTTTGAACTTGCTTCTTTATTGCAGCGATTCGCTATTTGAACACCTTAAAATATATTTGTTTGCTATCAGCACGATGGAATGAGACAAATGAACCATTCGGATATTTCTCAGAGCAGTAACAACAGTAACAACCCTTAAGTGTTTGAGAATAGCTCACGGAAGCAGACATCACAACGCTACCTCTGAGATCTCTTAATATGACATCTGGTCCACACATCATGGGGCGGCACAATATTCTCACATATTAACGGCACATTATTGAAATTAGGGGTATTGCATTAGCGTTTTGTATTATTTAGTCTTCATTAAATTATAATCCCTGAAAGTGTCATTAGAAACAAGTGTCTCTACAATTTCACCCACGAAGTATAATCATGATACACTGACCAGCGCTAATTATTCAAGCTGCTGAAGCTAGCACGGTGTTTGAAATATCGGTTCCTTGATATGTGGACCTGTAAATGCACCCGTAATAAGCTTTAAATAACAGACAGATGCCAACATCCACTGATTTAATACTGTTATTCAAAAGGGACAGTGTTGTAATCGATGCCATTCTCTACACTGACTGTACACCTGCACTTTAATGGACATTGTCATTTCTTTCTGCTATTGTAAACAAAATGGCTGCAATAAACCTGTTACCATTATGGAATTGTAGTCTGTTAAAACTGTTTTTATACACTGACCCATACTGACTTGGTTGATGAAATACTGTACGGTGTAAACAACCCCAACGATTGAAGTATGGGGAGGCCTTCATCCAGCAGTAGATTGATAAAGGGCATTAAATTAAATCATGAGTGCATACATGTAAAAGAAAACTGGCCTTTTTATTTGTCCACAGGGTAAGGTCTTTATTTCACGGCAGACCGCGACGTGATTTTCATTGCATCCATTCGTGTGCAATTTGTAAGGCCGCGGTGACACATTTCATTTAAAGGTTATAATCCCTTGTTCATCATGACCTCCTTTTTACTTCTACAGCTCAATAGCGTTACGGAGATCGCGTGACGTGAGGGTTCTGCCTTTGTAGTGAGGGTTCAAAGTAGACGCTCGTGATTATTAATGAGGGGGGTTCTCCATGCGGAGTGACGTCGCCTGGTCATGATTATTAATGAGGGGGGGCTCCATGTGGAGGGCGTAACCTGTTCATGATTATTGAGGGAGGCTGGTCGACAAGGAGTGACGTCACGCGCGGGACACACAGACATTCTTGGCTCATAGTAGTAAATCTGTATTTACAGAGCGCGTTTTTGATCTGCCAGCCATCGGGGATATGGCAAGGGGATGGTGTTGCTTTCTCTATTCATATCTATTAGCACGGACGGCTACATAAGTTGCGAAAGAAGTTCAATATACAACAAAAGATGTAACTTAAGCTCAGCTATGATTATATCCTGAAAATAAGATGTAAGAACCAAGGACACAGGTATATATTCCGACTAGCATAAGTACCCGGCTTCGCCTGGGACTTGGATCCACCACGCCCGGCCGCCTTTGTCTCCCCAGTGGCGATGTTAATACGCCACACCAGTTACTCGTTTTGAGGCTGAGTCCCTCCCTCACAACTCTCCCTCCCTCACCACTCTCCCTCCCTCACCACTCTCCCTCCCTCACCACTCTCCCTCCCTCACCACTCTACCTCCCTCACCACTCTCCCTCCCTCACCACTCTCCCTCCCTCACCACTCTGTAGAGGACGTGAAACTTTGATGAATTTACCTCAGAGTCGCGTGGTGGGTGTCGAGGCCTAGCAGCGTGCAGAGCCTCCGGCCTCGCCTAAATTGCCCACCCGGCAGAGGCTGGGTACGGGTGCCGTTCCCCCCCCCCCCCCGCGCTACAATAATACTGTCTAATCGCTATAATTTTATAATCTAGCGACCCTATAATAGTAATTGCACACATTGTGGTGGGGGGGGAGTGAAGAGGACGTGAAACTTTGATGAATTTACCTCAGAGTCACGTGTTAATGCGTGCGCCTATTTTTAACGGGAATTAAAAATGGCGTCCACCCCGCGGCGAAGGCGTCGCTACCCATTGCCAGGGGCAACTGCCGTCCAATGAAACTGCGTATGGTCCGGCGACCCACAGACAGACAGACAGATTCGCGATTTTATATATATAGATTTAAAACGGTGAAGCATACCGTGCTCTTGAAAAATATAACGGTGGGCTTAGCCATTGTGAGAGATGACAGCAGACAGAATGGATCACATGAAATAAAGCACAGACAACACGGATAGAAAATACAAGGGCAGAGACCAACCAAAAAGATATGGAGACGAAACACTTTAAAGAGGACAGACAAACGTACGAAAAGTATCAACAACAAAAAATTAAATTTGATCTTAATTTTCCTATTTGAAAGAGCTAAAGGAACCACGGGGATGTAGAGGATAGGAAGTATATGTATCACGTAACACTAAGGTGCTGGGGGTATCTTTAATTAAATGCTGCCCCACACTAGATGTGTCCTGCCCCACCGTTGATAAGACTCTCAGCAGCAGAACACACTGATGTAGTGAAACTAATGCCAGCTGTATGTATGCATGTTGGATTTCTTTCGTACCGTACGTAGGCAACTGTGATAATCGGAGGTGGAGCTATTTTAGCAGATCTCAGGTGGATTTGGTAAGTTTGCTCTAAATCCACGATGTAAATTGTATTATTTTTTCTATCTACGTGGCTTTACCGATAGACCCAAAGAATATAAATTGTATTTATGCCAATGTTTCTTGAAAGAGATCCACGAGATATCCACGTATAGTGTTGCGATTCGCAGCAAATGTTAGTTACATAGTGCTCATGAATATACCACATCCTGTATACGTATCTTGATTTAATGAAAGGATGATTCCTTACGTTTTTATTATAATCGTTCACCTTTGAAAAAGCAACATGATAATACTCTCATATTAAGATTGTTTCGCAAAACATATAAAAGTACCAGAGGACAAAGAAAGTTTTGAATGCAATTTTATTGAAGCAACAATTTATAAATCTGTTGAGAAGCACAGCTGTCTATCGTGACATTCACTGTTTGCAAAGAAATTTGACTCAAAATCAACTTAATTAAATCATGAATATCGCAAGCAAAATAATCACACGAACACAATTATATGCTGATTCGTCTTTAAAATAGAGATCACGTAAAAAGCTGCACCCATCTGTTAGAAGGTGGCATAAGCTAGTATTATGCGCTTGTATGACTGTGTTTGCATTGCTGTGAATGTCATGGGATGAGAGGATTGTGAGGTGTTTGGGGTTTATGTTGCTCTGCATTCACGAGATTACAATGTATCAGAAAATCTAATGGTAGAGAACAGCAAATTAGAAATTTGACAATGCTCTTCTGAAAACTGAAGATGTTCAGTGAGATGTTACTTAAAACGAGGTGCTCAACAATGAACTGAACTGCATGCAGAGGGTGCTCAACTATACTTGAAGCCTGTGAACATCTTTGATGCCATTTATGTGTTTATTAAAAAAGAACAGCACAGCATTTCAAAGATCACTGTGCAACTTTGCCTTGTTGCAGCATGGCAAAGATTATTGCGCGGCGAAACAGCCCCAGCAGTAGCGCGTTCGCTACGAGTTGCAGAGGTTTGCAATTTGAATCTGGCAAACGAGGCTTGTTAATACTGCGTGTGTATTATCCATGAATACATTCCATCTGCTTCGTGGGGGGTGTTAAAGATCCTCTGACGTCAATGGAAATGCATAGGCCATTTTTTTGATTTATGGTCAATATTTCCCATTTTCGCAAGTTTACCAGCATATTATGTACTCAATTATGTACTTCATTGGGGCAATCATTTCCACCTACAAGCAGACTTGGATTATTTGGCTGCAATAAATTTCCACGTGTTAAGCCTCTTGGTTGAGCTATCATTTATTTATTTTTTGTGATTTTCTAAGCTTTCCTATACTTTGCATTGTTTGTTTTTGTATTGCTTTTTGTTGTAACTTTTTGACCCGCTCCGACTGGACATCTGTGATAAAGAGCTTCATAACTCACCGTATTTCTCAAAAATGAATAAAGATTCTTATTCTGACTAATACTCACTCCTAGACCGGTGCCACAAAGGGACCGCTGCCACTGGGGATACCCTTTTATCGTTTGAAATCAGATGTGAAATTAGGTGGTTTGAGTTGCTGAGGCATTAAAGGTGCAATATGAATGCAAGATAAGTATTTGCCATACTAAATATGTAGAATGCATGTTATGTGCTTTGTGCAGTAGGTGGCATGTGCCATGCATCCTTCATATAACCTGCAGACCAGACAAAGCCTCGCTGGACCTGCCGCACAGACGATATGGCATGAGGCACAGGGTCGTCGAAGGACAGCAGTGAATCCCATTAGAGCAGCACGTTGCCTGTCAGGGCACACAAAATTACTCGTCATCCTGTCACCACGTGCACACATAAACACACCACCTCACCGCGAGGAATTTCTGTTTGTGAACATCTTCAAAGGATGGTATGGCACAAGGCTGAATAATCTCCAGCCACTAATGATGTGGATCATCATTCACGCGGGTATCGACCAGTGACGTGTTACAATTATTTGTTCGTAAATGACAGAGAAAATGTTGAGAGTGATAAAGTTGTCTGGAAGAGGGTGTAAGCTTCCAACTAAAAATGCAAGCTGAGTGTAGTTGTGTTGAATAGCTGGGACACGGTTGGGTGGTGGTTACTTACCCTCAACCCGTTGCAGCAGCCCCACCCCCCACATCGGTGCTGACAGCAGGTCTGCCATCTCCTGCAGTATTGGCCTCTTCCACAGTGCACGACGTTGTCTCCAACAGGGCCTGAGAGCGCCGCCTCCTTCTTCAACCAGGGGATGAGCGCGGCTGAGCTCACGCACTGCCCCTTGAGGTCGCCATTCGCGCCCTGACACTCGCTCCCGTCAGGGCATTCGCTGTTGTCCACGCAGCCGTCCTGCTGCTCACGGCTCAGGTAGTCGAGCACTGGGAAAAAGGACAATTTTGAAAAAGGTCAAGGTGAAAAAAAGATCACAAAGTTCACGTCAAACTGTTACATTCTGATTCCGGTGGTTCTGTTCTTTCACGTAAGATTATAGTTTGTAAAACAATTTCTCTACTTTCACAAATATTCACAAACATGTTAGAGTATCTTACTTTAACATAATAAGTGAATAAAAAATAAATGGAGTTCTGAGCTGCCAGTACTGTGATCCTGGATTCATTTCCAGACAGCCTGTGAATAAACTTCCTTATCAGGCTGAGTTCAGCGTCTCGGGCTGGTAACCAATGACTGCACAAGGCAAGCATCACATTAAATCAAGTATCTCCACTTAATTTAGATACATTCTAGCTCGTTGAATAAAAGAAATAGGTTTGTCTGTCATGAGACAAACACGACTATCATATGGGAGCGCATGTGAGAGAGTGCTGCTCCCTCTACTTTGCAGACCACGTGACTTAAAGCGATCTCAAGTAGCTCTGTGATATCCACTTCAGTGGGCCATGATCTACCTTGTACGTTTGAACTGCTCTGTGAAATATCTTAATGGATTCTTCACGACATGATGCCTACCGCACAATCGGGATAAAATCGTGGAAATAAGACCAAATAAAGTTTGGAAAGCCTACCTGCCACATCAGACAAGGCCTCGCTGGACCTGCTGC